TAAAAACCACAATGTTGATTATTGAAAGTAATAACTAGAATTATTTTTGAAAATGTCCATAACTTCGACATTTTTTTCACAGTATTTTTTAAATCTATCAATTTTACTAAAGAATTATGAAAAGAATGTTAATTGTTTAGTGTTCTTGTTTTTTAATGTATTTGGACAGAGATTCAGTTTAGAGTTTTTTTTTCATATAAGCTTTTGATTTTGATAAATTTTTATAGTGTGTTAGTGTGGTAAAAAATGAGGCTTTTAATACTTTTTGAAAAGCATGCTTTAATATTAGGTTTTTTGAGCAGATTTTTAAAAGTAATATTGAAATAATTTTATTTTAAAACTAATATGCTATCAATCTGATTTGTCAAAATATTCTATAACATTTGAAATACAGTTTTTTGGAATAATTTTTTAGGACGATTTTTTCAAAAACTTGAAATAATTAACAAAATTTTGTAATTCTGGAATTACAAATAGGTATAGATAGGGTTAAAGAGCAAAATTTAACTCCTGTAATTTCGGAATTCTCAAAGATAATTTTTTTAACATTTTTTCAATGCTCCTGGTATTTTATGTTATTTTGCTTTTTTCTCTGGGCCGCGAGTTATGAACGTAAAATTAACAAATTCAGTGAAAAATACCCAAAATTCGTATGCTATAAACATTACCAAATTTGTTAAGCTAAAAACATTATTTCGAATATATGAGTTTGTTATCTCTTACGTACGTCATATTGCAAAATGTTTATTTGTTGAGTTTTCATTTTAGCAATATTGTGTTAACATTATTTATTTCTACAACGATACAAGGTTGACAACGCAAAATACACAAATAATTACAGTTATTTTTATGCTTCTGCTAACAAGTCGATGTTTATTCTTACTTTCATGGTTTATTAGAAAGCATATTTTAATTTGAAAAATACATGTTTTTTATTCAAACAAAGTTTGTTCAAAAGTATAACTCGCTATAATATATTTTAACTATTTATTTGGTTTTTGAATTATTTTACTACAGTCAAAGCTGTGTTTTTAAAGCAATTATGTGTAGTCTATACTGTCAATTTTTTAAAAAAATAATCAAGTGGTGAAAAATTGAAATAGAGGCTATTTTTTAATACTTGTAGCCAAACTGTAAAGAAAAATATATAACTTTTTATTGATTTCGTCACACAAATGTGCGAACGGATATTTTTTATTAAAACTATATTGCAAAATGTATTGTTGATGTTCCTAAAATTATTATAAAACTTGTCAACAACAAAAATTCTAAAGGTCCTAAATATTAACATTTTGAAATGACCTCTGACTAATTGAACAAATGTGTTAAACTTGATAATTACGTCATATTTGTTGTTTATTAGGTCAAAATGTGATTCCATTTAGTAGAAATTTCCAAAGTGGAATTATTTGTGGTCTCACGGGACGAATTTTATAATTAGAAAACATTCAATAAAAATCCCAAACCGTTTTAACAAATTAAAAATGCCTGACTCATGAAATTAACTCAAATGTCGCAATATTGGGAAACTGTTTAAAGCTTTATTTATTTCCAATTTACGAATTTTTAATCGATTTATTAAAAGTTAAAATGTATTGCATTGAAAGCATTTTATTATTTTTCGTTGAGTGAGTTCCCCAGCAGTGGAATATTCCAGAAACTACGCAGTAGCTTCTGATCCAAAAATTCAGTCTTTACGTACGTAGAGAAAGATAAATGGAATGGACAAGAGGAAGAAAGATGCCGGTGATGACGAATTGTTAAAACCACGACCTTCTAGAACAGTCTAAAATCAATACTTGGAGGGGTCACCGTTGCCGCGTCATGTTTCTAGAACATAGAAGGGTGGGAGTGGATTCTATATAAAGGAAGCGAGGCCAAATTCAGTGCAGTTGAAGTGAAATCGTACGTACGATAGTGTGTGCCACGAAGAAGAAGAGGAAGAAACCCTTTCCAAGATGGCGTCGTTGGATCACACAGGCTTTGTATAGAGTAGTATCACAAAAAGCTAAAAATTCGATAGCGTTTCTAGATTTTGCTAAATTGTACTTGCTTTAATTTTGTTTCAAGATCTATTTAAATCTGGCCAAATTTAAATAGATCTGGATTTTGTTAAGGGCTTGTGCCCTTTTGCGAAAGTCACAAAATTAGCAAGTGTTGCCCTCCTCGATTTATTCGTATGAAAATTTGTTGGTTAATTTCAGAGATCGTAATCCAATATGGCGCCTAGGGCGCGGTCGCCATCATGATTTTAAGTCACGTAGACACACAATATCGCAAATAACACGCAGACAGAGGGCTAATATCTACGATTTAGATAGTAAAGGGTGAAAAGGTCGAAAATTTCCGGAAAATAGCAACGGCCCACCGTCCATGGTCGGGCAAAAAAAAATTTTAATAGATTTTTCTAGAGTCATCAACGGTTGAAGTAAATGGATGGCGGGTTTAGTTTACTCGGAAAGGATACATCCCTTGGTTAGAGATAAGAGATCCCCCGTTCGAGCTTATTTGTGATTTAATCGTGATGAATCTTGGACTTTGATCGGAATTTTTCATAGTGACGTTTTGTTTGAACAATTGATTAGTTTGTTGTTATTCTATTATTACAACTACTAACACTCTATTATCAATCTCTATTACACCCTTTCTAATGTTCATATATTATTATTTATTACAATTTTTAATAACTTGTTTAGCTGAAACAAGCAATTCGATGGCGTTTGTACAATGAACCCTAATTGATTCTTAATAAAGAATACTTACAATTTTCAATACCAATTAGTTCTAAGTTATTACTCAATTAATCTATATACCAATTTCCTTGCCTCAAAAAAATAAAAAAAAGAAAAAAAAACAATGCATTGTTACAATTGGATATAAAATGAGGTGGGACACACGGAAATAGTTTTCCAAGTCCCCTACAATTGACCAAGAATTCATCTGTAAAAAGGGGGCCTAATTCTAAAGTAAGTACTTGATTTTTAGATTATAATATTAAAG